CTACAGAGACAGAATGATAAGCTGGTTGGACCAGGCCTAGTAATACATTCTCTGGTTGGACCAGGCCTAGTAATACATTCTCTGGTTGGACCAGGCCTAGTAATACATTCTCTGGTTGGACCAGGCCTAGTAATACATTCTCTGGTTGGACCAGGCCTAGTATTACATTCTCTGGTTGGACTAGGCCTAGTATTACATTCTCTGGTTGGACCAGGCCTAGTAATACATTCTGTAGTAGGACCAGGCCTATTAATACATTCTCTGGTTGGACCAGGCCTAGTATTACATTCTCTGGTTGGACTAGGCCTAGTAATACATTCTGTAGTTGGACCAGGCCTAGTAATACATTCTGTAGTTGGACCAGGTCTTGTAATACCTTATCATACTGTAGTTGGACCAGGCCTTGTATTACATTCTCTGGTTGGACCAGGCCTTGTATTACATTCTCTGGTTGGACCAGGCCTTGTATTACATTCTCTGGTTGGACCAGGCCTTGTAATAATTTATCATACTGTAGTTGGGCCAGGCCCTGTAATTACTTACCATTCTGTAGTTGGACCAGACCCTGTAATAACTTATCATTCTGTAGTTGGACCAGACCCTGTAATAACTTATCATTCTGTAGTTGGACCAGACCCTGTAATAACTTATCATTCTGTAGTTGGACCAGACCATGTAACAACTTATCATTCTGTAGTTGGACCAGACCCTGTAACAACTTATCATTCTGTAGTTGGACCAGACCCTGTAATAAGCATGAGCATGAGTTGGAGTTGGAGTGAGTCGTCATGCTGTACCTTACTCTGCAGGTAATATGACACATTACATTACAATGGAACGATTTGATTAGTGAAATGTTAGCTAGCTACATAGTTGTCTTTGTATCAAAGATAAAGGTGTAGTATAGAGAAACTATCGAGGTTAGCTAGCCAGCTACCATTCGTTCGCAGCGACGCCATTTTTTCAAACAAAGTCAACACCGCAGCCATTGCTAGCTAGCCAACACTACCAGCTAGCAGTACTGTAGCAACGAAATACAATATCATTTTAGTCAATGAGAATTTTTCAAAGTAAAGCTTCACTTTCGGAACATTCGAGATGTGTATTCCACTTGTGTAGCTAGCATGACTGACTTTGTGCTAGCTAGCGGTGGCAAAGGAATCCTCATCTCTCCCAAGTGGACATTCTCTCCTCATTTGAATTCCATGCTGTCACAGTCACTAGCCCATTCAAGCTTAACATCCTTATCATTTATCGCCCTCCAGGTTCCCTTGGAGAGTTCATCAATGAGCTTGATGCCTTGATAAGTTCCTTTCCTGAGGATGGCTCACCCCTCACAGTTCTGGGTGACTTTAACCTCCCTACGTCTGCCTTTGACTCATTTCTCTCTGCCCCCTTCTTTCCACTCCTTTCCTCTTTTGACCTCACCCTCTCACCGTCCCCCCCTATTCACAAGGCAGGCAATACGCTTGACCTAATCTTTACTAGATGCTGTTCTTCTACTAATCTCACTGCAACTCTCTCCAAGTCTCCGACCACTACTTGGTATCCTTTTCTCTCTCGCTCTCCTCCAACACTACTCACTCTGCCCCTACTCAGATGGTAATGTGCCGTCGCAACCTTCGCTCTCTCTCTCCCGCTACTCTCTCCTCTTCCATCCTATCAACTCTTCCCTCTGCTAAATCCTTCTCCCTCCGATCTCCTGATTCTGCCTCCTCAACCCTCCTCTCCTCCCTTTCTGCATCTTTTAACTCTCTATGTCCCCAATCCTCCCGGCCGGCTCGGTCCTCCCCTCCTGCTCCGTGGCTTGATGACTCATTGCGATCTCACAGAACAGGGCTCCGGGCAGCCGAGCGGAAATGGAGGAAAACTAGACTCCCTGCGGACCTGGCATCTTTTCACTCCCTCCTCTCTACATTTTCTTCATCTGTTTCTGCTGCTAAGGCCACTTTCTACCACTCTAAATTCCAAGCATCTGCCTCTAACCCTAGGAAGCTCTTTGCCACCTTCTCCTCCCTGCTGAATCCTCCCCCCCCCCCCCCCCCCCCCCCCCCCTTCTCCCTCTCTGTGGATGACTTCGTCAACCATTTTGAAAAGAAGGTTGACGACATCCGATCCTCGTTTGTTAAGTCAAATGACACTGCTGGTCCTGCTCACACTGCCCTACCCTATGCTTTGACTTCTTTCTCCCTTCTCTCTCCAGATGAAATCTTGCAAAATTGTGACGGCCGGCCACCCAACAACCTGCCCGCTTGACCCTATCCCCTCCTCTCTTCCCCAGACCATTTCCGTAGACCTTCTCCCTTACCTCACCTCGCTCATCAACTCATCCTTGACTGCTGGCTATGTCCCTTCCGTCTTCAAGAGAGCGAGAGTTGCACCCCTCCTCAAAAAACCTACACTCGATCCCTCCGATGTCAACAACTACAGACCAGTAACCCTTCTTTCTTTTCTCTCCAAATCTCTTGAGCGTGCCGTCTTTAGCCAACTCTCTTGCTATCTCTCTCAGAATGACCTTCTTGATCCAAACCAGTCAGGTTTCAAGACTGGTCATTCAACTGAGACTGCTCTTCTCTGTGTCACGGAGGCTCTCCTCTGCTTTTATCCTTCTAGACCTATCTACTGCCTTTGATACTGTGAACCATCAGATCCTCCTCTGCACCCTCTCCGAGCTGGGCATCTCCGGCGCTGCTCACTTTTGGATTACGTCCTACTTGACAGGTCGCTCCTACCTGGTGGCGTGGCGAGAATCTGTCTCCGCACCACGTGCTCTCACCACTGGTGTCCCCCAGGGCTCAGTTCTAGGCCCTCTCCTATTCTCTCTATACACCAAGTAACTTGGCTCTGTCATATCCTCACATGGTCTCTCCTATCAATGCTACGCAGACGACACACAATTCATTTTCTCCTTTTCCCCTTCTGATAACCAGGTGGCGAATCGCATCTCTGCATGTCTGGCAGACATATCAGTGTGGATGTCGGATCACCACCTCAAGCTGAACCTCGGCAAGACGGAGCTGCTCTTCCTCCCGGGGAAGGACTGCCCGCTCCATGATCTCACCATCATGGTTGACAACTCCATTGTGTCCTCCTCCCAGAGTGCAAAGAACCTTGGCGTGACCCTGGAGAACACCCTGTCGTTCTCCGCTAACATCAAAGCAGTGACCCGATCCTGCAGGTTCATGCTCTACAACATTCGCAGTGTACGACCCTACCTTACACAGAAAGCGGCACAGGTCCTAATCCAGGCACTTGTCATCTCCCGTCTGGATTACTGCAACTCGCTGTTGGCTGGGCTTCCTGCCTGTGCCATTAAACCCCTACAACTTATCCAGAACGCTGCAGCCCGTCTAGTGTTCAACCTTCCCAAGTTCTCTCATATCACCCCGCTCCTCCGCACACTCCACTGGCTTCCAGTTAAAGCTTGCATCTACTACAAAACCATGGTGCTTGCCTTCTGAGCTGTGAGGGGAACGGCACCTCCTTAACTTCAGGCTCTGATCAGACCCTACACCCAAACGAGGGCACTGCGTTCATCACCTCTGGCCTGCTGGCCCCCCTACCTCTACGGAAGCACAGTTCCCGCTCAGCCCCAGTCAAGAGCTATTCGCTGCTCTGGCAACCCAATGGTGGAACAAGCTTCCCCACGACGGCAGGACAGGCGGGAGTCACTGAACACCTTCCGGAGACAATTGAAACCCTACCTCTTTTTGGAATACCTGGAATAGTATAAAGTAATCTTCTACCCCCCCTCCCCCCCACCCCCCCATTAAAAAAAGGTGGTTGTCCCACTGGCTATCCTAGTTGAATGCACCAATTTGTAAGTCGCTCTGGATAAGAGCGTCTGCTAAATGACTTAAATGTAAAGGTAATAAACTTATTATGCTGTATAGACCAGGCCTTGTAATAACGTATTATTATCTATCTTTTAGTGGGACCGGGCCTTGTAATACATTATTAACGTAGAGCCCAGCCTTTGTAATAACTTATTTTCTATCTGTAGTAGGCCAGGCCTGTAATAACGTATTATTATCTATCTGTAGTGGACCAGGCCTAGTAAACGTATTATTATCTTCTGTAGTAGGACCAGGCCTTGTAATAACGTATATTATCTATCGTATAACCAGGCCTTGTAATCACGTATTATATCTATCTGGTAGTAGACCACCGCCTTGTAATAACTTATGTATATCATTGTAGTAGACCAGGCCTTGTAATAACGTTTATTATCTCTGTGTAGGACCGGCCTGTAACAACGAATTATTATCTATCTGAGTGGGCCAGGCCTTGAACAACGTATTATCTATCGTGTAGGAACCAGGCCTTGTAATAACGTATTATTATCTATCTGTAGTAGGACCAGGCCTTGTAATAACTTATTATATCTTCTATCTAATTCTGTAGTAGGACCAGGCATCTGTAACCAACGTATTAGTATCTATCTGTAGTTAGGACCAGGGCCCTTGTAACTAAACTTATTATTATCTATCTGGAGTAGGACCAGGTCCTTGTAATAACTTATTATTATCTATCTGTAGTAGGACCAGGCCTTGTAATACGTATTATTATCTAGCTGTAGTTATGGAACCAGGCCTAGTAAAACGTATATTGAGTAGGAACAGCCTTGTAATAACGTATTATCTATTATCTGTAGTAGGACCAGCCTTGTAATAACGTATTATTATCTATCTGTAGTAGGACCAGGCCTTGTAATAACTTATTTTATCTATCTGTAGTAGGACCAGGCCTTGTAATAACATATTATTATCTATCTGTTAGGGAACCAGGCCTTGTAATGAACATATTATTATCTATCTGTATTAGGACCAGGCCTTGTAATAACTTATTATTATCTATCTGTAGTAGGACCAGGCCTTGTATAACTTATTATTATCCTATCTGTAGTAGGACCAGGCCTAGTAATAACGTATTAATTAGCTATCTGTAGTAGGACCAGGCCCTTGTAATAACGTATTATTATCTATCTGTAGTAGACCAGG